CCAGGCCATACGATGATGCATCGGCTGAGACCATGGTCTTAGAGATGTCAAAGCTTGCCAGAACTCGGTCACTGGCCAGAAGGTCTTTGACTTTTTCGAAAGCTTTTTCTGTGGTGATCCCCAGATGAAACTCGCATCTTTCTTTCTTAGGTCGTTTAGTGGCTTTGTAATTTCCGCTAGATTTGGAACAAAGCGGCCTAGGAAATTGACCATGCTCACAAAACGTTGCACCCCGTGCCAGTCACCTGGCGGTTTCATCTCGGCGATGGCTTTGACTTTCTTTTCGTCCACCTTGATACCGTGTTCGTCGATGTAATGTCCCAAGAATGTGACGTTGCTTACACCGAACTGGCAATTTTATTTGTTAAGAGTAATCTCTGAGTTCTTCAGGCGTCTCAAAACTTCGCGTAGTGTCTCGTCATGCACTTCCTTTCTCTTTGCGAAAATGAGGATGTCATCCATGTGACAGATTACCCCATTGATTCCGCGTAGGAAAGCAGACATACGTTTCTGGAAGTGTTCTGGAGCGCTGGAAATCCCAAAGGGAAGCCTTTTGAATTTATATCTGCCAAAGGGCGCAATGAATGTCGTCAGCGTTTGGCTTTCTTCAGAGAGTTTAATCTGCCAAAATCCGCTGTTAGCATCCAGCTTGGAAAAGATTTTGGCCCCGTTGAGTTGAGCTAGTTCATGTTCAAGGACAGGAAGTGGGTGAAGCTCACGTTCCACACTCAGGTTAAGCCGGGACAAGTCTACACAGATCCTGATTTTCCCGTTTGGCTTTCCAGCTAGGACGATCGGTGCGCACCACGGCATCCAGTTGCTCTTTTAACTTCGGCATGAGCGGAAGAGGCACTCGTCTTGGGACTGGTATGGAGAAGGGCTTGGCACCTTCCTTCAACTTGATGTGATAGGGCTGTTCAAGAAGCCCCAGTCCTTCAAATAGCTTAGGGAACTCTCGTTCAGGATTGACATCCGTTGTTCCGTTGATGACAAGATCAATTCGTCTGACGAGTTGGAGGTCTTCACAGGCCCCGACACCCAGCAGAGGTTGCTCCAAATGGTGGACCACGTACACGGTATCCTTCATTTCACGTGTGTTAGCTCGGAGCTTTGCCACGAAGGTCCCAGCATTCTCCAATCTTTGGTTCGCGGCCGCCATCAGTTGGCCGTCGGTAGGCGCCAGTTGGACGTTGCTGAAATACCGCTTGTACAGGGAAATGGTATCAGTGTCACATCCAACTTGAAGTGGATTGCAGTGCCGTTGACTCTTACTGTTGACTTCCACCTGCTCTTTCTGCTTCCCAGCGTAGGCTCGCGGACAGCATATACAAATGAGGCCTTCTCCCACGCTGGGGTTTCCTCCGAGGATATGGCGTTCACCTCATTGTTTTTTCTTCGACAGAGATTAGTGTAATGGCCCTTTTTCGCGCACTTTCCACAGACCTTGTCCTTAGCTGGGCACTTATATCTGTAACGATAATGATGTTTGGTAGTCCCACAGTTAAAGCAAGTTGGGAATTTTTTTCCTTCGTCTGTTTCCTTGGCACTGTCTGTTTGTCTAGACGTTGATCTGCCATGGTCCTTGCCATGACCTGATGCTTTAGGCTTCTGCTTGACCACTTTCCGCGTTGTGTCGACCTGCAATGTAGAAGGGTTAAGATCCTCTTGTTCACGCATCACAGCTTCCCACTGACGGGCGATCTCGACTGCTTTGGCCAAGGTCAGGTTTTCGTTTAGCATCAGTTTCTCCGACAACTTCCTATCTTTTACTTCAAGCACTATACGATCACGAATAAGCTCCTCGCGCAGATTAGCGTATTCGCAGTGCTCAGATATTCTGTGCAAGACTGTTACAAATTCCTCAATGGTTTCTTCCGGCCGTTGACTCCTTAATCCGAACAAAGCCCGCTCATACACCACGTTGCGTTTGCCAATAAAGTGGTTGTCGAACGCTTCAATGACTTTGTCGAGGTTCTTTGCGTCATCTGCTGAGAGATTGAACGCAGAGTGTATTTCCTCAGCCCTCTCCCCCATAAGATATATCAATGCTGTGATCTGATATTCTTGTTCCTTGGCGTTCAAGTTGGAGAGAAGTCCGTATCGAGAAAATCGCTGTTTCCAGCTTGGCCAATCCCTGGCGTCGAAACTGAAGTTAGGAGGCGGAAGGAAGGAATTTGATTCCATTGTCAGGTTTGATTGTACAAGAGTGGAATTAATTAAAAAGGCACTTACTTGGGCTCTTCACGATCCCACCGCTGCCACCATGTTGAGTTTTGCCCGTTGATTTGTCAATAATCCACTCTGAGTCGTCGGAGCTTCCTAGGTACCGGTTTTATTTATATCCTGTCCCGGAACACAAGTAGAACATCCCCCGCCGCGAGGCGCAAGGTGGCGTGAGGATTCTCGCCGGAACCCTCAACAGACACATACATACGTTGACCTATATATATATACTAGACGAATGGCCCGGGCAACGCCCGGGTTTTACCCGAGTGCGTATATATTTTTAAAATGTTTTAATTAAAATACTATTCATTACAATTATAAATTGGCGCCGTGGATGTCTCTCTTGTATAACATCCCGCCCCAAACTGTGTGTGTCTTGAAAATATAAAAATAAAAATGTGAACGGAAAAATATGTAAGGGTAGCCTAGTGGTCATGGCATCTGCCCGGTAAGCGGAAGGTCGTGGGTTCGATTCCAATCCCTTGACACTTTTTTTATTTTATCCATTCTGACCAAAATCTATCCGTGAACTTCACACAGTGAACTTCACACAGAGAGAATAAGGCAATTATATAAGTAGATAATCCAAATTGTGCCTTATCACACACTTTTTTTTTATTTGGCCTTATTACCTTGTGTTTATAATCTATGACGTAATGCCGGCGGCGCGCGCCCGTTGGCTGCCGGCGAGCACGCGACCTCCCTGTGCGCGCGCATCCGTGACAGAACCGGCCGGCCCATGACGGTCGTGACTATATATATATAATGGATGGATAATAATAATAATAATAATAATAATTATTATTATTATTATTATTATTATTATCATTAGATAATGATAATGATCATAATGATGATGCGCGCGCACCCGTGACAGAACCGGCCGGCCGGCCCATGACGGTCGTGACTATATATGTTGATATAGAGAGAGATATAAATAATATTTTTATATTAAAGCATTATACAAGGGTCACTCCAAAAAATTTAGCAATCACTTATTTTTATTAAAGCTGCAACTTTAAAATTTTCAGTTTCTCAAAGTTTTCACCCTTAGCACCTATTACAACTTGTATATTTGTTGGACAAACATTCACTCAGGGTAAACACGGGAGAAACAGGATCAAAATATATAATTCTGTAACAATATTATATAACTTGCATCATTCAATTTTATATGAAATGAAAGGATTTAAAAGCACGAATGTTTCTTGTATACATAATACAAACTTCTACTGCCCTTACTGCGATGAAAAAATATATTGGAAGGGCTTAGCTCAACAGTGGTGAACTCTCCCAGCGGTTTCGCCAATTTAATCCACCAGACCGCTTCTCAGAGCTCTGATACTGTATTGGACGATTCTGCTTATATACGCAGCACTTAAGGATGTATCTCAGAAATGGTTTTTCAAGAAAACTATGGACATAAGCTTTTAGGACAATAAAATCAATCAAATATTTGCATCAAGCAATGCTCTTCCGCAAACAATAAGGACAAGGCCAGTTAGGTATGAATATTCGTCCAATACAGTATTAGAGCTCTGAGAAGCGGTCTGGTGGATTAAATTGGCGAAACCGCTGGGATGGTTCACCACTGATGAGCCAAGCCCTCCCAATATATTTTTTCATCGCAGTAAGGGCAGTAGAAGTTTGTATTATGTATAAAAGAATAATTCGTGCTTTTAAATCCTTCCATTTTATATGTATAGATGGCGCGTTATTGCTTTGTGTTAATTCAATTTTATGTATATACACTCAGAAAAATTTCACTAAGGTAAACCTGGATGTTGCCCTGTTTATTCAGCTAGTTAAATATATTTTACTGTAATCAAACGGGCCATGGTTCTATTATTTAAAATATAACAATTGAGAAAAATCAAATAATCGAATTATCACGACGAGTGAATAAGTTGAAAAATGCTTAAATAATTTAATTTATATGAATTGCTTTTATCTGATGTAAATAAATTGTTTTTTTTTTTTGCTTATCCCTAGTACACGTGGTACAGGCCATGATAATCATGGTGGGTAGAAGTAGGCGACTGCTTTTACTGTAAGTACCCCACATGTGCAAAGCAGTTCGATTTTGCACTTACAAATGAGCCAGAGTTCCGTTTGGTTACCTGCACTCGCTAGTGGGGTTGGAATTTTGCAAGAATCAGGAGCAAATTTTTTATTTAGAATTTTTTTTAATTGTTTATTTATTAGATTTAATGAGGAAGAATAACAAACATCAATCTCTATCTTGGATAAGAATAGATTCATTAAAGAGTGGATATTTCTCCCCTAAATATTATTTAAATAAATATTCGTTAGGTAAACTTTTACTTGAATAAAAATTCCGGTTCCAAAATCACTTTATTAGGTACCGCTCAACAAGAGCAACCTAGTTTATGATAATTGAAACAATGAATAATATGTTAATGTTATTCACATATTAAACAAAACTTTGAGGCGGGATTCAATCCCAGTTCATGGCTGTCGGGAATCGAGGGTGTTACCTACTCGTCCACCTTTTGAATAAAAATCGGCCGAAGCCGGGTATATCTCTCTATATACAAAAGTCAATCTCTGTCTGTTTCGCGATAAACTCAAAAACTACTGAACCAATTGGTACCAAATTTTGCATGTCGCTTTTTATAAACCTGACGAAAATTTTCGACTACATTTTGATTAGTATTTTTGGCTATTTCTTTTTTTCATTTGAAGAACTTTTTTTTTTTACGCGGAGTGTAATCCGGAATGGAATGAATACCCAAATATGGCCATTTTTATAAGCATCGGTGGTTCAGTGGTAGAATGCTCGCCTGCCACGCGGGCGTCCGGGTTCGATTCCCGGCCGATGCATTTTTTTTTACAATTTTTAAAACTATATATAATATAAATATATATTATTATATCAACTATATTAATTAAATCAAATACCTAAACACTAATATAATACAATTTTTGCCATCACACACACTTTTTTTCCTGTAGTTTATGTGTTACTTCTGTATTGCTATTCTATGGCACTTCTAATATTTATTATTGATGTACTTTCAGTATGAAGGAAATTACAATCGGGGGAATTCTCGGGCGAAGCCGGGTCATACGTCTAGTTACTTATAAAAATAAAAAAGTCGGTGGACGAGTGGATAACACCCTCGATTCCCGACAGTCATGAACCGGGATCGAATCCCGCGTAATATTTTGTTTAATATATGAATAACCTTCACATATTATTCATTGTTTCAATTATCATAAACTAGGTTGTTCTTGTTGAGCGGTACCTAATAAAGTGATTTTGGAACCGGCTTATAAAAATAAACAGAAAAAAGGTGGCCCAAATTCCTTTTTCACTATACTTTATTTATAATCGACGTATGCCTATTCCTTGTTTTAACATATTCCAAACGGTCTAGGTCCTTGTTCGATTTAGCATATTTTGTCAGAGTTTCTTTTATGTTCTTTTTCGCTGTGTATAATTCGTGATCAAACCGAGGGTTCGACTTTGGGTTATTCGTTTTCGTACCAGTTTTTAACATTGCATTTTTGATCTACTTGACCATGTTATTAATTATATTCTCACTATTCTTTTATTTAATAAAAAAGACCCACTCAGAGCGGGCAGTTCCCAGTATTGAGCGATCATCAAAGGACCACAGAAGGATCCAACTTCACGCTCAGGGAAAGGCCCCCCAACTCCTCATCGCGGGTGGCGTCCCGTCGAAGTTCGGTTATCGAACTGCGTACGAAACTTTAGAAATGATCCCTTGAAGTAAGGTCATTCAACCTCTCCAAGCCTAAAAAATCGACGTTATTCACATTTTTATATTTTATTAAAACGGTATTTAATATTTCTCTCTTTAAAACTAATCATTATCGAATACTTAACATTAGAAGCTACAATATCAATTACCTAACATTAGGTGCTACAGTAGAATCTCCCTGTAAAGGACAACACCTAATTGCAGAGCCAAAGTGTTCTTTAGCGAGAGATGTCCTCTTACCGGAGAGTTACTAAATAGTAAAAATGGTAATTTTGCAAATGAAAACTGTACTTTGTAGAGAGATGTCCTCTAGCGCGAGTGTCCTCTCATAGAGATACTACTGTATTTCAAATATAAAGAAGTTTTTAATAGCTTAAAATTATTGCATTTTTATTTATTAAAAATATTCGAAATAAATTATCATTTTTTTTGTACAGCCCTCTATCGTTAGAAATTTATATTCATAAATATTAGAGGGGGTTTGTAATAAAAGATTCTCGATGATAAAATATGATTTAAATTTTCTACGGATATCATATATTTTCCAGTTTATAAAGCGAAAATTTCAGGAAGTGGTACCTTTTAGTATGAATACGGAATTCAGACAATAACTATGAAAGGTATTTGATACACATTGGTCTTTATTGAAGACCCTCGAAATAACAAAATTGTCTTTGTCTCATTTAAAAAAAAATAAAAAATATATATATGAAACCTCCTTGAGTTTTAATCCATGAGTGTTTATCCAGCCTGCAAAAAAAAAAAAAAAGTTTTCAATTTTTTATGTGTCCGCAAAATTAAAAAAAAGCACTTTTATATAATAATCATTTAATTAAAATTGTGTTTTGCATAAAATACACCTATCCCCCGATTTACACGGTAGATACGTTCCTGAGAAAAACGTGTAAATCGAAAATTAAAAATTTTTAAAAATTAGAAATACAGACACAGTGTGCGTGTGCAGCAAGTCAGCAGATAAGCTCGGGATTCCTCGTGAGATGTGTACACAGCGCATATGTTCAATCACAGTAGCATTTAGTATAGTGCGATAAAAACAAAAAAAAAAAAATACTTATTTGGAAAACCGCGTAAAAGCGAAAACGTGTAAAACAAGTACCGTGTAAATCGGGGGTTAGGTGTATAATCGTTTTCATAGGTTTTTAACATATTTTAAAATATAGATGGAAATTTTGCCGGAAGGATATTGATCTAAAGAGACAAAGGTCGCCTCTTCCGTCAAAATAGACATCAAAACTAGACGCCATCTATTGACCGTCGCTGAAAACTAGCGGCCTCGGGTCGGTGACAAAGCCACAAAGTCTCTAGGTGGACGCATTTCAGTTTACCAAAGCTGGTGTTGTGGCTTTGTCACCGACCCGAGGCCGCTAGTTTGCGGCGACGGTCAATAGATGGCGTCTAGTTTTGACGTCTATTTTGACGGGAGAGGCGACCTTTGTCTTTTTAGATATTTTAAAATATAAAATATTTTGATCTAATCACATTGAGCTCTCTCTGAGATAAAATCGGCACGTTTATTTGAATACTAACTCAATGCCTTTTTACAAACTTCCTTTCTGTACCAAAAAAAAAAAAAAGAATGTATCCAGATATAAAGTCAGAATTATTGACAATCCCTATATATATAAAAGTCAGTGTATGTATGTAGGTATGTATGTATGTATGTGGGTATCTATGTCGGCTATACACGTCCACAATACGTAACTAATCTGACTGAAATTTTAACAGTATATAGAGTAGAATCTGGAAAAACTTATAGTGAAAATTTCAGGTCTCTATCCCGAATATTCTTCGAGTTATTTGCAAATTGCGTTGCAAATTTGCCTTTTCGCTCGCAAGCAGCGCCTCTAGCGGTGAAGATGGGAGGTAATATCAGCTGACCTAATGTACATGTAAAACGTGTTTTGACAGGACATAGAGAAAAATCTGGAAAATATATTTATCAGATTTTTAGCCAATAAAAAATAAAATTGACAGGTTCTGGGAAAAAATAGTTGTTTTTTTAGTCAGAAAATTATGATGACAATATTGCTGTATCATGTTTGATTATCAGATACAAAATTATATCGGGAAAAATTCCAAAAAGCTGAGACCACGGGTGAAGCCAGTTCATTTTTAGTGTGCAGGAACAAAATTCTAACAGAAAAACATTCATTCGAGCAGAAGACACAAAGCCAGATTATCTCTTTATAAAAATATCGCTTCTCTGACACAAAGTTTGGAGCGGGACGTTTCACAAGAATGACATCCACGGCGCCAATTTATAATTATAACGAATAGTATTTGAATAAAAACATTTAATCGGGTAAAACCCAGGCATTGCTCGGGTCATTCGGCTAGTTTCTAATAAAATTCATCTAGACTAAGAAGAAGCACAAAAGTCAACCTGAGGTTTGGATCAACTTCGTTTTTATAAACGACCCCTGTAACAATTTTTAAATCCTAGGCTGTGTATTCAACAACCGAAAAATGAAGAGAGACAAAACTTACCTCTACCGATTTGGAAGCAGGATGTCTCTGGCTGATAATGGCTTCTCCTCTGGCTTCTCCTTCATATATCTATCATTATTAATCTTATTTATTCATTTTATGTATTTAACCTTATATAATATTATATGGACGTTATAATAAATCAGTTTCAATCTCAATCTCCTCTGGCTTGTAGGGTGGTAAACTGGCGCTATCAGTCCTCCAGTTACCCAGTGAGAGTCTGCCAATGTCAGTGAGACAGTGTAACAGTGAAGATAGCGAGCGCAGTACCTACCTCTTGGTACTGTAGGATAGCTGGTAGGTATAGTAGAACCTCCCTGTAAAGGGCACCTAATTATTAATGAAAGCTGTCCTTTATAGAGAAGTGTCCACTAGTGCGAGTGTCCTCTCATGGAGGTTCTACTGTATTTAATTTTGCACATTGAAAATCGTTTAGATTATTTTTACTAATTGGATCTAAGATTTAGAACATTTATTAAAATAATATTTTTGGGGCAAAATTTTATTCCTTACTGAATCTATTCTTGTCCAAGTCTTCACCTCTCATTGTGTTGTTCTGTGGAGAACTTATTAAACACGCCTGATGTGTTACCTCCAAGAATAGGACTATTCTGGAATGATATAGATCTGTCCCTTTATCACTAGGCGAAGAGAATAAGGTAATAATCATTAAGAAGAGAGTTTCAGAAGAGTCAGTGAATACCAGAATACTGGAAGTGAGATTGAGATTGAAAATATTGTCAAAAAGCTCCATCCAGATGGGACACCTGTCAATCATCCCTGGACCCCGGGGGGGGAACACAGGTGTGAGGGGTTCTCGGAAGCTGATTTGTAAATAAGGAAAACGGGACGGTGGCTGACGCCGTTCATTAGGATTATCTTTAACTTGGGGTAAGTTGTACTCCCTCTCTCTCCCTATACATACCTCTTATAATAAATTAATTATTCACAAACTTGCCCTTGCTTTATTTATCTCCGCGACAATATCTTTATTAATCGCCCATATAAATTATATAGTGTCAAATAAAAGAAAAATAAATATAATACAGAGTTATAAAAGAAAATAATATATATAAATGTATAAATATTTACATCAGACACTGTGACTGACACTCTCTGAAGAGACATCTGAATCATCTCAAATGCTTGAAGCCGAGGAAGTGAGAGGAAGCGATAGCTGCTGAGGTTCGATCCATCGTGTCTTCGGAGATGAAGCAATTAGAGTGATGAGTGAAAACAAAGCCAAAGTCACGCAGAGCTTCAATACATATAGAACTCACTTGAGATTTACAATCTCGAAGTTCATCATTGACTCGTTCGTCCCATTCAGTCCCCTTTTCGACTGACGGCTATGGCAAACTTCTTCGCAAAGAGCTTATAGCGATGTTAGGAATCGCCGCTATCTTCATCGTATTCTTCATAGATCGCGAAATGAGTGGTGTCGCTGGAGACCCACTGGCGATTCTCCACCAAACTCTGCAGCGGTGGCAGTGGCGCCATGTTCATTGTACATATGTGCACTTTGCATGTATTGACGAGATGTCAATAAAATTATATTAATTGTCAAATTGTCTTCATAGTAAATTG